CCAAACTCGTTTTTATATAAACTGCAATTGTTTTGTTGTCGCTTTTTTTTAACCCATCTATATATACACCTCTGTGGCTTAATTTCGAACAACCATTGAATCATTTCCCACGAAACAAAGATATTGCGATGATTCTTATCGGCAGTTCAAGTAAAACTTGTCAGACACCGACACCATTATAGACAATAATGAACATTATGCAATTACCAACTTTTATTTTAAAATTGTTTATTCCAATGATACAAGTGTTAGGCCGCTTATTATAATTTATTAAATATATATTATTGTATAGTACCTAGAACTATACGCAAGTCACGTCGTACCGTTATAACAAATGATATTATTACCTACCATTGAAATTCATAAATTATACTTGGATTTGAACTTATTAGGGCATTAACTAAATATAAACCTATATAAATAAATAAATAAATAAATAATAATATGATACTTAGTCTAAAATCAGTGTTGTACAAAATCGTATAATCATATTAGATTTAATAAGTTTTATCCATGTTATTTATATTCAACAGCATGTATTTATTTTATTTATGTCTAGTTTCTATTTTTTTTCCACTTTAAACCAATATAATCGAAAATAAGTATATTACTTATCATAGTAAGGTTGAGAATTCTCAAGAGCATATTGCTAAAAACTCAGAGCGTTATATCAAAAATAATGAAATCTCGATATATATGAAAGCCATTCATACAAAGATGAAAAACTTTTAGAATAGTAATTTTATTATATTTATTTATACACGTCAACAAATCCACTTCATAAACTCAGTGAAAAAAACGCCGTAAGGTAACAAAAAACAAACTATTAAAATTAGAAAATTTAACCATTACACATCTATATCACATATACCTCGTGCTGTACTCGTGCTGTCCATAGTTCAAGTAACTGATATCTGCAACAAATAAACTTGAAATGTGAAAACATTATTAATTAAACAAAAATCAATATTTGACTAAACACTAAAAAAATGTTGGACAGAATGTCTTTTTTGATGAAATTGCAATTAAACTAAATTCATTGGATCTAACATTTGTTAATCGATTTTTATAGAACTATCACAATATATACAATGAAATTTTTATGTGTTATAATTATTTATAGACTATACTCGTACGAATATAAGTCGAAGTTTTTGATTTTAATTTCAACTGGTTTCAGTTTTGGTAATTCAATTCAAGTACCTATACAATATTTATGTTCATATTATGCCAGTCTTATATAGACCATTAACGTTCATGAATACTATTTCATTTATGTGCGAACAATTTATCATCACACGACAGCCACAAATATATTATAACGATATAGATATATTATATATATATATACGATGTACATTGTGCAGTTTATTCTTTAAAAATATCGATGTAGATATACAATATTATACTTGTAGTTCAGAAACTTGCAATACCTAAAACTATTTAATTTAGAGCGTGTGATAATAATAGCACTGATATAATGCCGTTTTATTATTTTATAATGCTACATAAATCCGTATAGTTACTATACTATAGTATAATATATGAAGGTAATATAATGCGAATCATTATGGAACCCTCGCCGATATTTTACCCCCATGCATCGCCCGACCGTGTTCGTGACACACATATTGTCTCGACTTCGTGCACCGAAACTTTCTCAGCTCCCCAATGCTTTCCATCATATATTTATATATAATACACCTCACACACGCATATAAATGTTTATAGACACATTCCGCGATTTAGCATTGAAATGCCGTGCTTCCGACGTAATATAATATAATATTATATTATATTATATACTGTGCGGTCATCAGCTATATCGCGATTTTTTCTGTCATCACTCATCGTTTATGTGGTGTAGGTACGCCGTACCAATAGTACGATAACGAAATCGGCTGACGTGGGGGAGGGGGAGACGAAGGACATAGAAATATCAAATTCACGATTTGAACCCGTTCGCAGACCGACACAAGGGACAAGGGGCAAAAACTGATTATAATATTATTCAAAAACCGATAAGCCATCCTCAATATCGTGGTCCACCCGAACAACGCTTTTAATGTACACCCGCCGATATATTATAATGTTATAATAGTAAGTCCTATTCGAGAAAATATTATTATATTATTAAATGTGTGCACCGGTGCTCGTACCCATATACATGATATTTGCGCGTGTATTAAAAAGCCGACGCCCGTAAGTAGGTTACTACGGCCCCGGGCGATTCGTGTATTAATATATATATATATATGTGTGTATGACTGCGTGCGCGTTTGTTTGCGTGTGTGTACTCGTTATGTACTGGATATGTTTCGACATAAGAACTAACGAAATAAATAAAAATTACTTATCAGCTTCTGCAGTTACCTGTATAGATCACTGCATTGCAAAGTTCTATGCTATATAATTATACATCATGAGCAATAAAACAACTGCAGCGTCTGCACTTTTAAAAACGTATTTATACTGCAACTATTATAATAGACCTATTATATACTTACTATATTGTATTACATATTATATTATTATTATTATTATTGTTATTATTATCATTGTTCCGATCTAAGTGGCCTGACGATAATTTATATACGTTGTACTAAACACGTCCAAATAGATTTTGTTTTCTGTAAAAATATCAAATTATAGCTTTATAAATTGATGATATGAAACAATTTTGTATAAGATCTAAACTCGCAATCTTTAAGTCGCCTAAAAGTTACCTATATATTAAAACTTAACTTCAAAATAATAATTATATTATATGTACTTATTAATTAAAATATTATACTTATTAATAATTATGATCGACATATCAATAATACAATAATATGTTGTCTCGTTCATGATTATTTTTTCTCTTTTTATTTTATTAAGTATTTATATTTTATTTCAAATAGTTTTTTTTTTTTTTTTTTGTCATGAAATCATACGGTAATTATTTTATTTTATTTTTTTTTGTATAAATCTTTTGAATAAATTGTTGGTCGATTAAATTTCACCGCAAATAATCCTAAAATAACATAACATCGTGTCAGATAAATTATTTAACGACTTGTTTAAAAAAAAATTCAATACCCGGAAATTCTGCCATAATTTCCATCAGGTCCTTTACTAAACGGGCGGCTGGTTTTGCGGATGAAACGTTTCACCATTGATTATGATGATGAGCTTCGGGCCATATATACCTACACACTATATTATTATTGTACGTGAACAACCTATACTATATGGCTGCGTATGGGCCGCAAGTGCTGCCGACTAGTAATTAGTTTCCTACCTAATATTTTTTTATCAAATGTATGTTGTATGACGTTATGACATCATATAAAAATAATAAATTGTGTATATAAAATACAATTATATTGTACCGACCACAATTAAGAAATAAGAAAAGTAATATAATTTTATGGAACACTGCTGACGGGTGTATGACATCCGGATACATAGTTAACTCTTTGAAATTTACATTTTGTTTTTCACTGCCCACTCGACACCACAAAAAGTATACCAATATTATACATATACCACTATACCATAATGTTGTGTAAATGGAATAGATAGTGCAAGCGTATATTAAGTTATATAATAATTCTGATTGGAATAATATATTATATTATATTCTGTACTTAATATTGTTTATGCAAAAATATAAATAATAAATTTCTAATAATATCGATAAAATATTATAACGTATAATTTATAAATATCAACTTTACTGACTTCCTTTACAAATAGATACATGCATTAATGATACTGTACCTATTAATTTCTCCTAAATTATGCGGGCCGTTGGCCCTTTACTCAACCATTGTAGTAAGGCTATGCTTATTTTTTTAAAACAACTGTTCTGTATATAATTATGGATTGTGTATGATAATAATATAAACGATAGTATAAATGTTTGTATATACCTATGTATATTATTATTGTATATATATATATATATATATATATATATATATATATAAGTTGTATACAATAGTTGGTTTATGATAATTATTTATATATACTAAATAATACATAGGTATGATTTATATTTAATTGATGCAATTTTTTTTAAGAAAACTTATATATACTCATGATCAAGCGTGTAATAACAATAATTCATAAACAGGGTTCAAAAAAAAAAATAAATAAATAAATACTTAATAAACAATAACTCTAGACAATTTTAACGATTTGATATAAACCGCTCACGATCACTAATAATAATAATAAATGTAATTACATTTCTCTGCAGACTTTCCAAAAAATTACATTATCTATAGATGTGTTTTATATATGCCATCCGTTTTACAACAGACATACCTAACTACTTATACGAAAATTTTTATCTTATTCCATATCTACTTCAAGACTTAACGAAATATACGATTTGCATAGGTAATATTCCCCAATAGTCAATACCAAATGTTTTTTAACGTATATGTCCAAACTGTATAGAGTCATAGATGGTTCGTTAAATCTCAATATACCTACATATGTATATTATTATATCGTCATGAATTTTTGTTTATGACATTATTCATTATTGCATTAATACGTTTTATTTTTGTTTTACGTCTCTAACACGCATAACGTCAAAACATATTTAACCTAGAAATTCAACCGTATACGTTTAATATAATATTAAAATACAACGACTACAGATGCTATAACCTAGTAACGTATAATATTATAAAAAGTATATAACCTTAATAAATCGATAAATAAGTCGGTGTTTACAAAAAGTAAAGTATACCTCACCTTAAATTCGAATTAGACTTGATTGCGTGGAAACCGTTTTTTTTAAACCAAACGTTCGACTATTATTATATACAATTATACATAGTATTCCTTGTAAAATCAAGTTCATTAGGTTGATACTGCCATTTTGATCTACCGTATTTCGTGTACTGCATCGTATATTGATTCAATCATTGATTTATAATATTACAATAATAATAATAATAATAATAATAATAATAATAATGTTGTATGTGTGTGTTTTCCAGATAGAATTGTCGCCGTCTCGTCTCTTGTTTTCATACGACAGTTGTTCATACGTCAGTTCGGAAAAGTATGCTTCCGTGTTGAAAATGTGATTGGGTGCACAACCTGTAGGTGGAATACCGTTTGGACAGAAATCCGATTTCACAATATTATGGACGTTGCGTCCACCGATTACCTAAAGACTGCACTGTATTCGGGAGATAACGGCCCGGACACGGGTAACCGAGACAGCCTCCGACTAATGGAGCTTGGGCTCCATCTGGAGACCCTTCACGACGGATCACATCGGATCAACACGTCAGTGGATCATTTGTTGAACGACCCGTCTCTCTCAGGTAGGCATTATTATTATTATGTCAAATTAATATTACCACAAACGTTTAAATAATATTTCGGTTCTTCAGGATACACTCTCTGTATACAATAATTTAAGGACACGTTATATTATTATTATTATTGTACAGTAGCATTAAATATGTGTTCTATCAAAGTGTAATATTGTATTGTAATGTACGTTTGATATTACTTTAATATAATACCTGCCTTTATAAATAAATAATACTGTGTGTAAAAATATTCTTATAAATCGAACTTATCTGGATATATCGTGTTTGTTCGCATGCAGAGAGGAATAACAACGAATTCACATTCGCCAACAACAACAATAACAATAGCAGCAACAACAACAACAACAATAACAACAACAGTTTTGAGACGATTATTAGTGGTGACCACAGTTTTGACTTGGACTGCGCGCCCAGCTCGTTCGCCGACAAGTCAGACATAGTTGACCAATGGCGGACGTTAAACACAGACGGAGCCATCTACACGGTGGAGGTGGTGAACAACTCGGACGGTGGCGTCGGCGAACCACTGTGGTGCATGCCTGCGCTCACCGAACACCACCAGGACACCAACGCGGTGAGCAACTTCGACGAGACACTATTGTCGATGAATGGCGCCGAGTCCACAGATCCAGTGAGCAATGGCAGGTACATCAAACAAGACTCTTTGCGGGAGTACATCAAACAAGATTCTTTGCGAGAGTACATCAAACAGGAACCGTTGACGGAGTACATCAAACAAACAGAACCTCTGCAGGAGTACATCAAACAGGAATCTGCAGAGTATACAGGCGATGAGCTTCTCCGAAACGCATTGCTGGGCAAAACCAATCATAACCATCACCAAAGGTAAAAACCATACGATATAATATGTTTATTAGTATAGTTTAGATTCGCGATATAATAATATACATTTAATATCTATATCTATTATGCTTATCAAGGCAACGAAACACTTAAATTGACTGCTCAATAAACAATGCGAAATTAATGTGTAAAAGATACTTGAAAATTGTATTCAAAATCATACGTTAATTAATCATTAAATTAAAGCCTTTTTTGAACACTTTAGTTATAATTATAATCATATCTGGTTTGTTTATTTTTTTTCACTGCACGTACTTATAGCACAATATGGCAAATTTAAAACGTATCAATGATTATTACGAAAAATTTAAAAGTTTTCAATAAAAAATTTAGATTTTTAGTCTTTCATCACAAGAGTATATTTAAATTTATTAACTGAGTGCAAAATGTTTCAAAATTTTCAATTTATTCACCATAAATGCATCAAAACTGAAAAAAAAACATAAATATAAATACAAAAAAAAAATAATAATAAAAAAAATGCTTAATTTAAACTTTTCATACAATACATTTTTATAAGTTATAATTTGATTCGTGCAATTTGAAACCCATTGACAAACTCGTTAATTATGACATGGTTATTTTTATTAAATTCAAACGTCATTCAGTAATTTTTGTTTGTTTAGTTGTGTACTATATATGCTGGTATAATTTTGAGGTAATTCTGTTTTTATATAGCAAATCATGATTATTAAAAAATCGCCTGTATCACTTAAAAAACGGTAACTTAACAATTGTGTGATTTGTGTGCTCAGGTACGGTGACAAAGACGTCAAGCCATCGGTGTCGACCGCGTCGGACAGCCAAAATTCGTCACCGGGACCTCAGTCAATGCAAGATGTCACGTCATACCCATCGACATCCACTGTGGATATGCAAGACGTGCTGGCTACGACTAGCAACTGCAGCAACGGCATCAACGGCAATACGATCGTCATGATCGATGACGACATGCCGTCGATGTCACTACTGGTGGCCGGCGACGGGGCCTCAGCGCAGAACGTCGATGATCTCCTTTTGCCAGACTTTGACTTCCAATACATCGATGGCCTGGATAGCGACATGTCTCAATCGTTCCAGCAGTACTGCCCCACTAGTCAGGGGTTCGTATCCTTCATCGCCGCAGAGGTAAATATTCCTTTTTTTGTCCACTCCATAAAATTTTCATCCGTTCACGAAACTACCATAACATAAAATAAACATAATATATAGATGTATATCGAATTATTTTGGGCTTGTTGCCAATATCCAATATTATCACACGAACATTTATAATTGTTTATTATTGTACATATTTTTTATGAGCCGTATGGTACCACGAATTACTAAGTCCTTTCGACTGCAGATCTCTATCACAATACACACTTTCTTACATAGACTGCTTTTTTTAAAAATAAATAAATAAATCATTAGTATGCATTTTAAAAATGTATTAACTACTTTCCAAACGTCTTTTCGTATTCTAAACGATCTGTTAACACTGATTAAGTAAAAAAAAAAAAAAAAATTGCTATAAAACTATATATGCGCAAATACGTATCCAGTTTATTTATAAGAAGATCTTTAACCCCTTCGTAAATCGAATAATTATGCGCTTTAGAAACTGTCTGTCCCCATCATTTTTCTAAATAAATACCTATCAATCATATTTATTACGTAATAATATTAATATATAATAGTTAGGTACGAGGTGCAGTTGTTATACCATGCGTATAACTGACATAATATTGTTTTAAACCAGTTGGCATTACACGTTTTACGAAATCATAAATGATCCTGCAGTGAACTAGTTTTAAAATATAGTATGTATAATGTACAGTATACACGTATATTGATAATGTATGTCCAATGTACATGTAACAGTAGCACTACTTATATAGAGCCGCATTATGGAGATTTAATCACGTACATTAATGACTCATTAAAATTATTCTTCAAATATTCGTAAACTTAAAGCTTCAAGATTATGTTATTGATTTTAATCAAACGCCATAATTGGTCACTAATAGCTATTATTAACAAAAAGAAAATATATTCATCGAGGATTAAAATGAGTGCACAATATTTATTTATGCCGATAGGTATAATTTTTTATTTTATTCTCTTAATACAGAAAAAGATAAAGCTATAATGAATATATTAATTTCAATTGAAAGTTAAACTTAAGTGTCACATTAAAACAATAATGATTTATTAGTAATAATCATTTAATAATAATCATCTATGTACAATAGTAAGTTATACATAATAAATTATACCAATAATCAGTGGTACACTAGAGAAGTCTGATGACATAATTAACTGTTAATACCATTCAAATGTGATCTAAGAATTAAAATTTAATACTTTGGTATACATTTTTTAATGGGATTTGTAAATTATAATGATAATTAAAAAATATCTTTTAAGATTACTCGAGAATCAAACAATTTGACTATTATTTTTATGACCGCGAATTAATTACATCTATACCTCGCTGGCTAATCCATAGCTCATACAAACCCATTCAGTCAACCACATAGATACTCTAACCACTTTTAATTACTGTTACCCCCAGGGAAGTAAGTTTAATAAAATTTCCATTTAATTCAATTTAATTTTGAGTTCAAAATAATTAAGATACAAATTTTATCGAGACATAAACATTCAATTTTTTATTTCTGTCCGTTGTTGTTATTTGTAATATTTTTTTAGCTTAACACACTATTGTAATACCCATTTACAAATTGTGTGTTTTAAAACAAAAATCATTCAACAAATAAGAAAGTTTGTTTTAGATTTAATCGACATTTAAATTTTTAGACATAACATTGATGCTAATTAATATAAATGTATACACCATAATACATTATGTATTTAAATGCATATACCAATAACCATTTTTTTTGAATATTTTTACTAGATAATCAATGAAAACTGATGGATTTGGTGTTAACACCTATATATTATAATATTTTATAATATTTGAATATAAAAAGGTTATTTTACATAAATTATTTCAATGAATAATTTTTTATATGATTATTATCTGTTTATGTTTTTTCACAATACAAATTTTTGAATTTTACATATATTTTTTATTGGCTATATGTACACACATAATAATTGGGAATTTATTTTAATTTAACTTTTGGTGTGTATGGTACTTATATAATACATTTCTTGGTTGTTTCTCATTTCTTAAATTCACAGCCACAATCGTCATCATCGAACATATTATCACTTATTTTACAGTGATGACAATAATAGTATTTTATTCTCTGTTTATAAATTACAGGTGGCGAACATATCGCAAATCCCGGCCACGGTGGTGCTGGATCACCGGGAACTAGAACAAGTGTCTACATCATCTTCGTTGTCCCCACCCGTCCGACCGGCTAAAAAATATAACCGTCGTTCACACCACGCTAACGGCAAGACGAAACAGTCGGCCGGCGGCGGTACCGGAACGTCGATTGCTGGTTCCGGTGGCGGAGGCGGAGGGTCTGCTTCGGTGTCGAGTGACGAACAACCGGCCGGGCACCCACCCGCCAAGAAAGAACGGTCACTGCACCACTGCCACATATGCAGTAAGGGCTTCAAAGACAAGTACTCGGTGAACGTTCATATACGTACCCACACCGGTGAAAAGCCGTTCATGTGCACCGTGTGCGGCAAGAGCTTCCGGCAAAAGGCTCACCTGGCAAAGCACCAGCATACACACACCACGCCTGCCAAACCGGCGCAATCGTTGTCGTCCGTCACACAATCCGTTAAAGGCAGTGGCAGCGGTGGCCGGAGGTCCACATCCAGATAGCCCGGACTGCAGCCGACTGTCACCACCGAGTCACCGTCATTACCATCACCACCACTACACTCACCAACAACGCTATCACTATTTACCACCAATCATATACCAATACCATCGTCCAAAACCACCACCACTATTGACCTCTGACCTATCATTCCTACAGCTTCCGGAAATGCGCCGAAAACGAACGAAAAAAAAATCGGACGTATTCCTCATCCACGGTGCTGTACTTACATCAATTTTGTGCGTACTCCGTGCAAAAAATAATTATAATAATAATAATAATAATAGTAACAATTTTATTATTATCGTTATTATACGTACATAAAGGCGATCGTCGTGTATGTGTACGGTACACACTACACACGCCAACTTTATTTCGACGACTCGGCCAATCGTTTTCTCCACCCGGAGAAATCGTTTCTAATGTGATGATTAATAAGTTAACCTCATTAAAGAATAATATTTATGTAATAATTATTGCTTAACGAATCAAAATATTCAAGAGTATTGTTTTTTTTTTTTTTTTATGTGTAACTTTTTTTTTTATAATAATTTTTAAGTTTATATACGCCGTGTACATGATAAAATATTTTTCTACGATACAATAAGATTTACATTTTTTTAAACGAATAATTATAACTCACATATTTATGCATAGAATATTACGTATCAATACTTAAGTAAGTTTATAGATATTTGATCTATATTAATTATAAAATAAAATTATCGTGTACTATTCCGTCCTGAGGCCTGTGATAGAAATGAACACATTACAGCTATAATAATGTTGCGAAACGATATTGATGTAATATTATTTAGTCACGTTTTTTGTGTATTATAAAATATATATATATAATATTATTATTATTATAATTATTATTATTTTTTTGTTGTTATAAAAATTTTTAGTTTTTATGTTGTATCCATTTTAATATGCGTGTTATAGGTATTCCTAATGATTACCTTGACACCGGACTTTAATTATGAAGTTATCATATTAATTATAAATTATGTATTGATATGTACGAAAGCAAAATAAAGTTTAAAATAAAACTAGGTAATTTATTCGTGTTACTTAATTTTTCTAAGAATTTTAGGCCTATAATACTTAAATTGAATTAAACAAATTAGAAACGTAAGTATTATTTAGATAGCCAAAATGTTTTTTCTTATTTTTTTTTTTATTTCTATTATTATTATTATTATTATTATTATTATTAATATTAATATTATTATTTGTATTATTATTTAAAACTCGTAGTAATATTTTTACTTAAGTAATATTATTGTTATTTTTAATTCCATACGATGACGATGAGTTTTTCATTCATATTATTTGAATACTTGCCAAATAGCAATAGGAACAATTTAAATTTTATAATAATATCTATTTCTTGTGCCATACACAATAATAATCATGACATTATGATAAAATGTTCTAATACATGACAAATTTTAACTACTACGCGTTTACAATATTATAAATAAGAATAACGTTTTAAATTTACATTTTTCTACTGAAAATGTATATATTTATTATATATGTTTTCTTTTCACAACAAATTTAACCTTTTATGTTCACAAATTAAATGTATCTCAATTATACTTATATACGTCATTCCTGCAATAATTTTGACTGTGATTTATAAAATGAATTATCTTTATATATTTTCTCATTATATTTAAAAATAGTAACATTCCATTATTTTATTTTATAATATATAACTTAAGAGAATTTTTTTTTTTTTTTATACATGTGGTTTTATTTCAAACAATAAATATTAATGTTATCATACATGTAGGCCAAATGTATATTATTTTCATGTATACCAACTCAGTATTTTTGTAAGTTTTTTTTTGTTCGTATCTGTTTTGTAAAATGAATGAAAATTATTTATTCCTAACGAATTGTACATTTATAATTGATATATATATATATATATAGTTTTTTATATGTGTGTATATTATATATTCCATATTATTATGTGTGTATATACAATATACATATTATATAGACACTAGACATCGATAAATATATATATATATATATATGTATAAAATGTATATATATATACATTTTATATTTTTATTTTAGCTTATTTTTTCCTTAAATCCCATTTGTGTGTGTATATTATGTTAACGAAGATATAAATACACCTATATATAAAATATAAATTATTATGATTATTATTTTAATTAAAATAAACATCAAATTATTATAACGATTATCATAATATTGTTTGTCAAAATAAATTGAAGTATAAAAACATTGTAATAAAAGTGATAATCACATAACAACATGTAGATAAGCATAAACCAACACTATTTTAGATCAATGAAGTTAATCCCAAATCGAAAATTATATTATTTTATTGGTCACTTCGATTTTTTATTGACATAGGTATCGATATATTATTATGTATTTAAGTGTAACAACAATTTATTCTCTATGATACGTAAATAACTAGTCTACATGAACATTAATTATTTACAAAGCATCGTCGGGATTCATGTTCATAAGACACTGTCAAATCACAAAATAATACTTAACCTCTGTCGTTGACAAGAACAGACCGATTTATAAATATATAATATTATACTTTTATGTGCTATTTTTTAATTCAATAAGATTGAAAAATTATCATTTCGGGAATAATATTAAGCGAAAGTCTCGTAATATCGTGTTTTTAATATAATATTACGCATTATTGACCAACAATTTTTAACAATCAACATGACGTTTTAGGTTATTTTATTGGGTCATTAGCTGAGCTATAATATACCTAATACCTAATTTGTCTTTAAAATTAATTTGATTTCAACTTTCACAGTTAAAAAACATACGTTTACAATGTTTACACACAAAATTACAATTACGTATTATAGTATATGCAATTACAAATATTTTCATTGGGATCATTAAGACGCAATATGAAAACTTAATAAAATAAATGTAATTTTCGATTAATATATTATATCATAAAATTATACAATAATATTTTTAAGTTTGTCTAAATATTAAAATTAAATAAATAGCGTTCTAATATTTTATACAAATTGCATAAACGGATAATATGTTTAAGTACAATCATTGTTACTAATAGAATTTCAATATCATTTATATCGACACAATGAATTAATGTTGTGATACTTATTTGAAAGTTGAAACCAAAAAAAAAAATGTTTGTAAACATTAATATTAAAACAATAACACCTTAAATTATTTTTAAATTTTCATCATTAAATAATGTCATTTTCTATACAAATCCCTTAAAAACATTAAAATATGACATATATTACAAAAAGTTGTACAATAGCATACTTAATACCTAACCTAACCTAAAATTGAATCGATTTATTAATATTGAATGATTTTATTTTAATAATTTGAGTACAATATAATCAATTATTATGCGAACTTGTTCAGAACAAATGTTAAATTATTTCATATTATTTTATCTACAATAACAATTTAATATTTAGTTAGTACCAAGTAATAATGATTGTAAATATTAACAGTTAAGTAAACATAATATGTACACGATTTTAGATAATTTATATGAAAAGTTTTAATGAAATTAAAAGAGGATTTTCAAGTTCTTAATTCAATGTTATATGCGTGCAATACAGTTATAATACTTAATAAATATGTATATCTATGATGAAATAAACTACACTGCTGGTACCCTATGTCTAACAATTCATATTTTTCCAAATAAGACTAAATAAGTAATATTTTTTTTTGCATATTAAAAATATGGTTTTAGGTAAAAATAAGTAAAATATTATTTATTATAAATGTAATCTATTTATCTGACGAATCAATAAAAAAATATATCATGTCTATGAGATTATAATGAATATAGTTATAGATAAAATTGTTTATATAATTACAAGAACTGTAAAACTTAAAATAATCGTAATCTATAATAACCACTGAGAATTTAATACATAATTATTTCAAGTGTTTAAATTTTGTGACGTCAAATATCGGTAGGATACGAACTAAATATTATATATGGTGTGAAGCGTATATTCATGTGTAACTATTATGTATAGGTACACGAAGTTGATGGAAAAATATTTAAAAATAAAAAATGGAAAGGAAAAAAACCATGTGACAATATAATGTGTTGGTGTTGAGATGCAGACATCCCACAGGGAACGGACCGGAGAATTTTTATTGGCTTTAATTAAACTTAATTGATTTCAATTGAAAAATGCGCCAGCGACCCCGTCGTATACACGCTAGTGATGTGATACTGTGCGGGTATTTTTTTTTTTGTTTTGTTATTATTATTATTATTTTTTTTTTAGAAGAAAAATAATGCACTTTTTTGTTCGTCTAAGGAACGGAACCGTTAAATCTACCGTCACGTTAACTCATAAAGAATTGAAATCGGTCATTTTCACTTGTGCGTGCGTACTTTTTTTTGACTTAACTACTTGACTGTCATAAATTCTACGGATACAATGTAAAATAAACGAATAACATACAATAAATATTATTTAATGTTATGTTACACGATCATAGTATATTGTAATATATACCTACCGTGTGTACGATTTTATCTTAATATCGAGAAATGATACTACTTAATTGTATTATTATGTGACACATTAAAAGTTTTATTGTTGTCTTAATAACCATAAATAAAGCTGTAAAAATATAATATATATATATACATAGTTGTAAGATCAATTAGTTGAAATATATTAAGCTCACGACATTAAAATGGACTCAGTTTAAGTTATTGAGGTATAAGCTATAAGTATAATATATCTACCTTTATATTTTACCCGATTATAACAATTATAAGGGACAAACTATAATATATTATACTTACTTATACGATGCTGTGATAATTTATAACATGAAATATAGATGAATGTCAATATTTTTAATCGAATATCCATTTTAACCTATGGTCGTATTTATAGATTCTGAACGAAGCAATGAAAGTATTGATTTTACAGTGATTGTATTTATTTTTTTTTTGCGTGTATGTGTGTGTGTGTCTGTCATTACCTTTTGGGGCAGTAAAACTGCTTCAATTTTCTACTTGAGCATGATAGAAAATTAGATATATATCCAGTTATTCCTAGTTGCTACACTAGAAGATAAAAAGTAAAAAATTCCCAGTAAATTTTTAAACAAAAAAAGAAAAATTAAAGAAAACCAGAATTTTTACGCTAAACTAGTTTCTGACAAAATTGATTCCTTTATTTTGTTAAAATTGTAAAACAAATAACTCTAGAGTCTAGGTAGATACTTTAAATGTTTACAAAATATTTACATCATCAATATCGATGTATAATAAAATTTCCAAAATATTTTGACTCTTTTTGAGTTAATTATAGACAAATTAAGGTAATTTTTATTTTTATTTTTATAAATGTCAATAAAAAATATTTTCTGGGTCAAAATTCTTAAAACTAATACAAGATCCCATATAAGTTTTTCTAGTAGTTGTATAAATATTAAAAATATATATAGTCATGATTTTATTTTTGTAT